CATACAATTAGGGAAAACAAACAAAAAAAGGTATAAAAAATATCGAAGAAAACAAAGAGGGGTTGCTCTTATTACCGGTGAGTTCACTTCCCGTACTTCAAAACTCCTACATTGAGCTCGAGGTCATTCGACCAAAAGAAGATGACTGGAAAAAACTTGAGGAAAATAAAGAGAAACAATTAACTATTGAATATGATATTTATTCATTTAAATACAAATTTATACGGATTCTGGCTAAAATTTTCTAAGAAATTCATACATTCCATTTCCGATTTGTGGTTATATATATATATATATTTTTGTTCATTTCAAGTTGTCCAATACAAAATAAAAATTGATAAATCCGGATTCGTAACCAACCTCACTCTAAAAGATTTAGATTTGGCTTAATTTTGTAAGTTGCAATAAAATTAAAGCTTATTCTCTTTCAATTTTTTCTCCATCTTTCCTCTGTGAATTTGGATCTAAAAGTGAAAAGAGTTTAGAGGTTGTGATTTTTTAGTTCCAAAAAAGAAGTTTTTATTTTTTTGAGAGACACCTTAAAGAAAGAAAGATTAGAAGGGATGGATAAAAAAAAAGGTAATTTGAAATCCACCTAGAAAAAACTAGTTTTAGAAAAATGACCCAGACTTCTAAAAAAAATTTGGGTATAAAAATGACAGTTTCCTTGTGGTGAGGGGTGATGCGATCATATTTGGCTAAGAGATCAAAGAGTCAACCTATATCAACAAAGAGAGAGATAAGAGGAGAGACCCCTAGAAACAGGAAGCTCCATTGGACACATGAACATATCTTGACAATTTTGAAGAGCGAAGAGGATCCAACAGAGTCAAGAGGAAGATGGAGTTTCAAGATGGACCAACAAAATGGGCGTGCCTTAAGGACATGACCACCGCATGCCCATGGTCTCCCAAACACGCCCCAAAACTGCACACTATCCTCACAGCATGACGCCCCGTGTCACAATCGCGCCTTATTGGCGACTGTGCGGCCCTTGCTTCCACCCACAAGCAAGTCAGCAATTAGAAATCGGATAGGGCAACGGCTATATGTCGAACCTCCACCCTTATTCTTGGAAAACGGTTTTGGAAAACGAGGTTATAAGAGAAAAATATTTTGGAAAACATTTGAAAACATTTTGCAAAGCTTGTTGTATAACTTGAATGCAAGAGAATAGATAGTGGCAAGACACATAAAAATATAACTCATTGTGGGAAGGTGACTAGGTGTACCCCTATAGTACATTTTAGACCATCTTGCCTTTGGCATGTGTGAACATACAAAGTGGCGAGGAGTCACTCACCACCAAAAGTACAAGGAAAAGTAAACAACATGCAAAACTAAATATATGACATAAAAGTATGTGAAAATGGTTGTTATAGGCATGCGGCCACAAGCAATAGGTCCTGGACGAGCATGACCATGAGATTCTTTTCCACTTAAATGGTTGACGTCCTTATCAATCGTCGTTGCTCAAACTCGTCGATCTTTGCTGCAACTGTCTTCAGGTTTTCAACACACTCTCAACTGAACTCTTCATCTGGGAGCCCTCTCCACTTGACTAGGAACTCTTGCACGTCTCTTCGTGGTCGCCCAACTCGTCATGTTCTATCAGCTAGAATTGTCTCAACTCCTTTGTCGATCTTGTTTGTTAACATGACCGCTGGACGAGTTATCTCATTTCATGTAGGGTTAATGATGTCTAGATTATAAGGCTCCAAGTTACTCACATGAATCCCTAGATGTATCTTCATCCACGAGTGTAGTTGCACCTTGTAAGATGTCTTGCCCGCTTTCTGAAGAACATCAGCTAGCCCGTCGTATTTCCACACAAGACGTTGGTCTTTATTCTCCCGTAAGCGAAGTTGTTTAGGTCTCAACTTTATAAGAACTTTGTCTCTTGCTTGGAACTCTAAAGGTTTGCGCTTCTTGTCTACCACCCATTCTTTCATGTGTTTAGACACCATCTCGAGGTGTGCTCGAGCCACTTCGGTGGATTGCCATTCTTTAGTAAAGTTGTAAGCTTGAGGACTCTTCCTCACATAGGGGTGATTGATAACATGTGGCAAAACAGGTTGTCGCCCACATACGATTTAGAAAGAGGTTCTCCCGATGGTGGTACTCTTCTGACAATTGAAGCAGAACTGAGCCATGTCAAGCATCTGGATCCAGCTCTTTTGTCGTGCGTCGATAAAGTGGGGGAGGTATTCTTCCAGCATACTTTGAAGCGCTCTGTCGGATCTGTTTGTGGGTGATAGCTTGAGGATATGTCAAGTTGGAGCCTAGTAAGTAAAAAGTTTGGTCTAGAACGTCCCAGTGAATGGTCAGTCTCTATCACTCACAATACTTTCGATGACTCCCCGTAGTTTCACAATGTTTTTGAAAAATATTTGTGCGGTCATTTCGGCAGAACATATATTTAAAGTTGGGGTGAAGGTTGCATACTTAGAGAATCGGTCAACTATCACAATAATCGCTTCCGTCTCTTTGACTTTTGGTAGGTGGGTGATGAAGTCAAGAGACACACTCTCCCAAGGTCTTGATGGTACCGACAGGAGCTCCAGCAAGCCTGCAATCTTGATTCTCTCTACGTTGTCCTATTGGCAGATGAGACACGTTTTAGTGTATTGCATCACGTCGTCTCTCAAGTTTGGCTAATAGTAGTCTTTCTTTAGCAAGTCATAGGTTCTTTGCCACCTAGCGTGTCGTGCCTGCATCATGTCATAACACTCTCCCATTAAGAGCTTCCTTAAGTTCTTAGGACGGGGAACGAACAAGTGGTTGCCTTTGGTGAAGAGAAGGTCATTCTCGAGCAAAAACTGACGAGTCTTCCCATCGTTGGCCAATTGAATTATCACTTGAGCAGCTAGATCATTCTATAAATTCTCGTTGATGGCTTCGCGTATGGATCCTGTCAACCTACTTGCTTTCGAATGAGCTAACATGCACAGAGCCGCATGTTTGCTTTCCCTAGTAAGGGCATCTGTGGCTTGATTTGCTTGACCAGTCTTACATTAAAATTGAAAATCAAATTCGGTGAGGTACTTCTGCCACCTAGATTGCTTTGACGATAATTTCACTTGGTTGAATTAGTGGCAAATTGAGCTTTTGTTGCCGAAAACTATCGAAGGGAGGTTACACCAAAAACTGTAATCGAAGGTGGGAAAATGAAAAGCAAAGATGGGAACTATAAGAAATTTGATGGGAATCGAAATATAAATCGAGAGAAATGGAAACGAAAGGTGGAAATAGTAAGAACGTTAAAGGAAATCGAAATGCAATGATGGAAATTATAAGAAACTTGAAAGAAATGAATAATGAAGGTCGGAAATTCTCGAAATCAAGCTCAAAAGTGAAGGGGGAGGAGGCAAAGCAGTGGAAATTAGAGGAAAATCATAGGGAAATCGAAATGTCGAGTTTTCTAGGCCTTCAATTTTAAAAGATTTTTGGGCTCCCGCATTTTGAGCTTCTTTTTAGGTTTTTGGTTTTTGTGTTTGGGTTTGGGCTTGCAGGATAAAATTTTCATTTTGGAAATAATCTCAAATGACTAAATTTAGTAATATAATTTCGCAAATGTCATTTTTTTTAATTTCACAGATCTAGATTTCAATATTTGAGTTTCATTTTTTTTTTCAATATTGCACTTAATTAATTCCATATTTTAACATTTATTCTATAACTTTTAGCTATTTATTTATAAATTGGTAGATATTGCAGGGATGGAATATGTTTTTAAAATATTGAATTTATGGCTATGAATATACCTTATTTTTTTATTATATTTTGTAAATAATTTTTTGTCATTCCATTTCTTTCCATTTCAGTGTATATAATCAACCAAAATTTAATTTTTCAATCACTATTGTGGGTTCCAGAATCGAACTCACAATTTTGCGTGTGAGATTTCAAAGTTTTACGTATTTTGATTCTCATATTTAAATTTTCATTAATCCCAAGATTGTCCTCAATTATTATTGTTTTACTTGATTAAATTTATTTTTTTACTTAAATGATAAGATTTGATTTTTATAACTTTTTTCATATTTGGATTTCAAATTTCTTTCACTCGATCCAAGTTAAAAAATCTCATATTTTTCTCATATCACAATTAATACAAAATCCTTCATTTGTAGTCCAGATTTAAAAAATCCCTCTCACCGAATTTGTTTCTTTTTTGTCCTGACTTACTTTTCAAACCTTTTTTTTTGTTTCTTTGTAATAGTATGATATACTCATCTAATTGGTTATATAATATATGCTTTTTATTATTATATACTATTACGTTATAGAATATATTCCAACTACCATTATACAATATATTTTTATCCCATAATTTACAGTATATAAACATATACTACTTTAAAAAATTATATAATATATGGCTTTTAGTGGTATACACTCAAATATTTAGGTTATATAATATATAACTTTTGGTGGTATAAACTCAAATATTATATTATATAATATAATACATATTGTGTTATATATCCAAAATCTAATCAAACTCCCTAACACGATTTTAAGTTTTCAAATTAGAGAATTTTGGGATTTAGCAATTTCAAAACAAAAATTAGGAATTTTATAAAACATAGCCACACGATTTTAGGGATTTCAAGGCAAAAATTAGGAAACCGCCCAAATTTCTAAACTTATTCTATATTTGATTTGATTTTTTATCTTTATTTAATATATATTTAGAAAGGACCTATGAGTAATTTTTCTAATAAATTCTGCCTATAATAGGTCAATCTTTAGACAATAATGTAAATTGTTAAAAAGTTAAGGTCATTACGTAATTTGAATCCTAAAATATGCTAGTTGTGTACTAATCCCTTTGAACTTGACCCAAATATTCGAACTTGAGACTTCTAAGTTGATATAACCAAAAGACCCCCAAGTCCTTGCCAACGAGACAGTCTGTTGGGGTCGATCAATTATGAGACTATTGATATCAACAATGATATGATATATAAGTAATCAAAGCAAATCCGATGAAAATATATTTGAAATCCACAAAGCAAAATGAGATTCAGATGATATTTTATCAAAAGAGATCAAAAGATCAAGTTTACAATTTTTGGTGGGTGGTAAATTTATTCTCAGATGCTGAACAGAATAAAAGGTTTGGAAAGATGACATTCAAAATTATAAGTTTTTACAAAGCGACCAAACAGTTTCAAATATCTTCCCATTGCTGGCACCAGAAAATAGCTAAACTTGACATGTCAGCAATTCGCAGCTTCCTGTCAGATTTACGCGAAACAATCAACAATAACTCAACATGATAGCCAAGTAAATCACCAAATTGTTAAATTTTAATTTGGCAGCCAGAATTTCTGGAAGTCCACATCAATGCAAAAATATATCGCTTTCTGTTGAGATGGTTGTATTTTTTTACACTTCTAACTCTAAAAAGTTTCAATTTCATTGGTAGTTTTTCGATTTTAATTCAAATGAATCCCTACTTTTAACATTGTTGCTTAAATGTTGGCGTGACCTGCTAATTGAACTAACCAGCTAATGATTTGACATCATGTAGCACAAAAAGGCAGGCTAGCTAGACAAAATAAAGAAAGACATGCTGAAAATTCAATTGAGTTGGTAGGTGGAATATAGTAACAGAATTGGCTGGTCTTTACCCACTATTTTGTGTCATCATCATTACTTGATTAACTAATCAACATTCTACCTCAACGTTCAACATTAAACGTTAAGTCATGGCAAAAATAGAGACCTGTTGGACCAGGGGCGGGCGCAGGCTCTCTTGGATATATTGGAGCAAAGCTCCAATTCCCAAGTATAAAAGAAATATATATAGAGAGAGAGACTTGTTAAGATCAAAATTGAATTCCTAAACGGAACTTTTGAGTGAAGGATGGACTGAATAGACCCGTCAAAGTCCAAAGACTATAATTTTCAGTGTGCAATCAAGTTGTTAGATCAACTCCCATGTACTTGATATTGCCAAACGATCAAAAGGAATAGGAATTGAAACACGACTGAACCTTAAAAATAAAACTTAGTTCCCAGTTTTTCTGCCCCTTTTTCCTCACGTACGCCTAATTGATAAGAGGTTTAACAATAACCCGGGCCCAAGAGACACTTTGTCCTCAAGTTGGAAAGGACGGCAAATGTAGCACTGTAATTGATATTATGGCTTCGAGGCAAAAACGTGACATTTCATTTAAAAGACCCATATAATGTTTAGGAAGTTCACAAGGAGAAAGACGACAGATTGAATTCCATGGAACTACAGTGTTATATGTCAACCAAGATGACAAAAAGACGTAGACCAGTCAAAAAATTACATTATCTATTCTTACCAACTACAAATTTCACTCTATTCAACACAGTCTAGAATTTCAATTTATGATATTAAGAATTCTTGTATTGAGCTCAAATTGCTAAACCCATGGAACTCCAAGAAGGATAAGTATACGAACCAGAAATTATATCTTCTCCTCATAAAACTCCACGTGTTTAATTTTCCCAATGGTTCCTATCTATCCAAATAAATTTTCCTAAAGGCAAAAACTAGGTTCATAAACCTCATCAACTTATAGAATTTAGAATTCGAATTGGAGTAATTTCTTCCGGGTAATGAAAGTTCCCATCCAAAAAGGATGGCAAGAAAAACTCCAGATTCAAGATGTTAGATGTATAGTCATCATCTTTTTTTTGGACCAGAAAGAGGTGAATGTAAAATTCCATCACAATTAATAAAACCATTTTGATGAGGAAAAAGAATCTCTCCCCCTGCCTTATTTCCATATTTATGACTAAACATTCTTTAGTTCCACCACTCAACCACCTGCTAACAAAAAGCATAGTTTCATTCCAAATACTCGGGAAAACCAATATTATTTCATAATCATGACAAATTAAATGTTTCCCACTCTCCAAGGTTTTCAACAGAGAGATTCAATCATAAAATTTTACAAAAAAAGCATCCCATTAAACATCTCAAGTGGGAGGTGGAAGGTCAAATAATGAAGCAAAGAGAATTGATCATCGGCATTGAAATGATCGCACCTCTTCATACAAAGTTCTAATATGTGAACCTCAGATAGAGCTCATTACTACAAGAACCTCAGCTGAGGACCCCACCAGAGAAAATTACTTCATAAAATTGCTTGCCTCAGGACTCTTGAATTGCTTGTTTAGAAATGCACATTACCCAACAGCCTAATTCAATTTTTTTTTTTATTTCATCAGAAAACTTGCTTTCATTGGAATCAAATGAAAGAATACATAAGGGCGTACAATAAACCAGCCCAGCAAAGGGATCCACTCATATCCACGCTAACTAAACCGGTCTGCCCAAGATCCATACCAGCTATCTGCCTCCCCACTTTGGCTCTTTTAATTGAAATAGGCAGCCAATTGCGTCTTTAGGTCCAGAAGCGTCTACATTTACAAAACCTACATCCTTGATAGAAATAAGTAACAACCTGTTGAAGCTTTTGCTCCTTTACTTTTCCTACCTAGAACTAGCAAGCCATTAGTGTCCACCATCTTATTTAAAATTCTCAGGAAGCTAGGACATTGTGGTGATCCAGTGATAGTTGTGTCTTGGGATGTGGGAGGTTTGGGGGCAGGTATTAAAAAATGATACAAAAAAATGTGGTACAAACTTCCTATGAAAGTTCACACTTACATAGGAAGAAAAATTGAACTTATTTGAGATCTAACAATTTATAACTTAAAACCAACAAAAACAACATTAATGGTAAATGTTGAAATGGAGACTTTAACACTTAAAACTGAATACCCAAATCTAACAATAAAGTAAAAAACTTAAAAAACAAAAGACTGAAATTTAATTAAGAAAATCCTCAAATCCCAACGGACCCGGGATAGGTTCACAGAAAGACAATAACTTTAAGATTAATGAAAGAGCTTTCTTTACCTAAGCCAAAAAAGAGGGTATTGTCTTTGAATTGGAGATGCGACAGGCAAGATATCTCCCTCCACTCATAGAATCCCTCAATACACCTATTCTCCACTCCAATAGAAACCAATTAAATAAAAATGCCTACAACTAGAATGAAGAGGGAAGGGGAAAGGGTTGCCTTGCCTCAGACCCCTAGCTGCGAGAACTTTACCCCTAGATCTCCCACTGATAAGGAAAGGGAAATTTACATTCCTAGTACAATTCCAAGCCCTCCACTCAAAGTCGAGCCAAAGCCTTTCATAGGACCTTATCCAAGAAATCCCAATCTAGTGATCATAGGCTTTCTCAAAACCAATTTTGAAAATAACACGTTCCTTCTTCCTCTTATCCTCAACGGCCTCATTGGCGATAAGCACCTAATAAAAAGTTCTTAAAGGCCCCTTGATATCAGAGATGGTGTAGGAAGGACCTTTCTTAATCGATCGACTATAGTGTTTGCTATGATCTTGTATAAGCTCATGACTAGACTTCTCGGCCTAAAGTCCTTAACCCTATTAGCATTGTCTTTTTTCAAGATAAGCTGATTGTATATCTCTTTCATAGATGCATCAATCACCCCTATAAAACTCCGAAAAACTTCCCAAAGATCCTATTTAGTCCTTTCCATGGTAAAACCATATGGGCCAGGGATTTATTTCTATTAAACCAGAACACCACTCTTCTTATCTTATCTCTTCCAACAAAGAGGGAGCTTCTAAACCTTACCTCTCACTCACTGAAATTGGGTTCCAATCTAAGCCTTCAAAAAATGTCTATGTAAAGGAGGCAAGACGTAATGGGAAGAGAAGAACGAGACTACGTCACTCTGATATCTTTGCAATTCAAATCAGGAAAAAAAAAAAGAATGAAAGAAAATATAACTTAGTAAAAAAAGCCAATTTGAGCATGCTTCCAACTCTCCCCACTCTACTGGACACTCACTCTAGAATAGAAATCGTTTGCCTCTCTCACCAACAAATCCTTCTATTTACTTAACAGGAATCTGCCCTACTATACGCAAAAACAAGAAACACAACCTAGCTCACTAAGACATGATCTAAAAGACTAAAACTGAACTATGAAAACACGAATTGAAACACGATTGAACCCTAAAAATAGGAACTTAGTCCCCACTTTCTCTGCCCCTTTTTCTCACGTAGGCCTAATCGATAGGAGGTCTAACATCAACCCCCCGTGCCCAAAAGACACCTTGTCCCCAAGGTGAAACTGTGAAAGTAAGGAAATATTGTCCTTAAGCTGCATAATGCAAAAATTCGAGTCTGGTTTTTAGCCCCGTGATAAGTGGTACCAATTGTCACAAGGCAGCCTACAAAGTCAACTTTTTCGCGCTATGCAACCTAAGGTCTCTACCTTAGTCAACCTCTAGGAAGCACGGGCACAAATACATCCGGACGCGTGTCCAATATGCAAAAAACCGTGTCCTTTTTTAAATAAAAAAATGTACACGTGACAGACACGCCTTGGACATGACCATCTAAAACACCAAATGGAAACAAGCTCATTTGAAAAGACACGCCCTCCCACTGCTTGCCTTTGCTCACGAAGAACTAAGAAGAGTTGAGACGAGAAGAAGAATGGGAAAGAAAAGGAAGAAAACTCAAGAGGAAGAAGATTTTGGAAGAAAAAGTAGGGAGAAGAAGAAGAGTGGAGGAGAAGAAAAGATAGAAGAGAAGGAAGTATAAAAATAAAATCTGAATCAGAAAAAGAAGAATAAAGGAAGAAGAAGAGTCCAGGAGCCTTTATGGCTTCTTTCATGAAATGCCATATGGCAACATACCTCCTCATAAGACAATTTTTTCCCGATAACTGGGAGTCCGAGTTTTGCTACCCTATACCCAAGGACACCTACACCCACTCATAAGACAGTTTCTAGAGTCATTAAAGTAATCTCTAGTTGCATGAAACTGCAAATGGCAGTACTCTTCTTCCCATAAATCTTCCCATAAATACAAGTGATTAAATCATGTGTTTAATGGTTAATATTTAATCAAACCACACTTTATACTATATTAAAAAATATCTATCTTTTTATATCTACTTCTTCTAAATTAAATAAGTTATTTTTTAAAAATGTTAAATAGTTTTGTAATATTTTTATGCTTTTTGGATGGAGTATTTATTTTTTCTTTTATATTTGTCATAATATTATTTGTATGGTTAATTTAATTTAGAAATATTATTATGTTATATATACACATATATTACTTTAAATAATAATAATAATGCGTCCCGACGTGTCCGTGTTCTACATTTTTAGAAATTACCGTGTTGCCGTGTCCATGTTTCTTA